CATCCATTCATCCATTCATCCATCCATCCATCCATCCATCCATCCATCCATCCATCTATCCACCCCTCCATCCATCCATCCATCCATCCATCCATCCACCCCTCCATCCATCCATCCATCCATCCATCCATCCATCCATCCATCCATCCATCCATCCATCCATCCATCCATCCATCCATCCATCCATCCATCCATCCATCCATCCATCCATCCCCTACCATTTTCTTCTACTTTTATTAAGTTATGTTTTAGATAAGAAGCCTCACACCCCCGGTCCGTCCGTGGCTGTTGATCTGGAAGTGATTTTGAGTGCAGTGATTGGCCAGCTGTTATCCTGAGCTGAACCCGCTGATGTGAGCTGGCAGAGATATATAATTAATGCTGTGTTCTCAGATAGAGCGGAGGGTGATGTGGATGTGACCTGATGGAGAAGAGAACTTGCTCCTCCAGACTGCAGACAGATGCTGAATACACACTTACGCTGTCCAGATCAGCACTTATGAACACACACACACACACACACACGCACATACACACACACACACACACACACACACACACACACACACACACACACACACACACACACACACACTCGAATGCATCTCATATCTGAAGGATTTTCAATTTTTACTTCATTACCGAAACATGACGTGTGAGCTATTTGCTGCCAAACGAGATGCTGATCGAACCAATCATGAGATTAGCGAGAGCAAAGTCTGTCCAATGGCGAATCAGGGCTCGATACGACAGAACAGAATTAGATTAAACTGTGTGTGGCTTGATTTGGATTCATTATCAGGATGTTTTACAGTAGCCTGTGTTTTTGACTCCATTACACCGGACACCAGTGATTGCCACATGACTGTTGCTGCATGCTGGTCTTCTGTATTTGACAGCATTTGATAGTGTGTTTAGCAAAAAAGTGAATGACAGAATTTAATTCTGATGTGGCACAAAATACTTCACTGTTGATAATGTTTTTTTGTTTTTTGTGAAAACTAAACTAAATTGCATTATTATGATTAGGTTTTCCTGTTTATCCCATGTTTTCCCATCCTTTTCCATATTAGGTCTCTTTTTTGACATGTCTTTTTTCAGTTTTTCCATATTTTTCATTTGTTTTCATGTTTTTCCATGTTTTCCAATGTTTCCTGTGTTTTTCCATGCTTTCAGTGTTTCCCCCATGATTTTTGGTCGTTTTACCATCTTTTTCCTATTTCCCCTCAATTCTTTTCCATATTTCTTAAATTTTTCCATGTGTTTTTTTATTTCCATGTTTTTGTTTTCATGTCTTCCCATGTTTTTTTTGTTTTTCCATGCTTTTTCAGTGTTTTCCCCGTGTCTTTTTCTCATGTTTATACCATGTTTTTTTTTTTTTAATGTTTCCCTCCATGTTTTTTCTCATGTGTTTCCATGTTTTTCTCATTTATCCCCATGCTTTTCCATTTTATGTCCATTTTTCCATGTTTTTTTATTTTCTTGTTTTTTTCTGTATGTTTTATGATTCTTTCATGTTTTCCCATGTTTTTTTCAGTTTATCCATACTTTTTCAATGTTTTCCTTCATGTCTTTTACTCATGTGTATCCCATGCTTTTGTCCATGTTTTTCCTATGTTTTCCCATCCTTTACAACATTATGTCAGTTTTCCATGTCTTTTGTCTTTAACTCCATGCTTTTTGTTTTCATGTTTTTCCATGTTTTCCCATGCTTTTTCTGTTTTCCCATACTTTTTCAATGTTTTCCTTGTTTTTTTTTGTCATGTTTTTCTATGTTTTCCCATCCCCCATGCTTTTCCAAATTATGTCTATATTTCCATGTGTTGTTTTACTTACCATATTTTTTTCATATTTTGTACATGTTGTCTTATCTTTT